ATGCGCCGAGGAATATCAACGCATCTTCTACGTCAATCACGCACGATCCTTTCGATGATGAGCGAGCTGCGCTCGCTTATGAATCCCCTGTCCATCGCTTGAACAATGCTGATGAAGTCCCAATGAGTGATTGGGATGAAGGTCTTTCATCTGAAGGTGAAGACAAGATCCAAACCCGCAGCCGATTCTTCGACAATCATGTGGATGACCTCATCGGACGCCTTCTGCAAAGCCGCCTCGGTCCGTTAGAACGAAATCTACAGGGCATTCAAGATGCCATTGCGTTGATGTCCCAACGCCCTGGACGCGGTCGACGCAGCCTCTCTACAAACGAGCGCCTTGACAGCGACGCGGACGACGAGGACGACGAAATCGGCACCGACTCCCATTATCGCACCAGATCTCCAAGGAAAGATAGGAAGCTTGAGAAGATTCGATCAATTGTGCGGGAAGCACTTGAGTCTCATCAGCCTGCTGTCACATCCTTGCCAGTGCCTGTCCCTGAACCAATGCTTCCTGAAAAGATCCGCGAGGTGGTTCTTGAAGCTCTTGCAGCGCAACAACCCCAACAATCGAACGAGGCTGAGGTTGTGAAGGCAGACCATGTTCGAGATATCATTATGGAAGCACTTGCTCATCATCAACCACAGTGGACGCCTCCGAAATTCGAGCCGGTACCTGCTGATCAGATCCGTACTATTGTAGAGGAAGCGATTGCCTCAAACAAGCAGCCCGTTATGGAACCAGCTGCTGATCCTGTCAAGTCTGATGACATTCGGGCGATCGTAACAGAAGCACTCGCCTCACACGCTCCTAAGTCTGTCGCACCCGCTGTTGAACCTATGCAGCCAGACGACATCCGTGCAATCGTCATGGAAGCATTCTCCACCCACGCCCCTCAGCCTCTTCCAGCTTCAGTACCCGAGCAGATTCGGCCTGAAGACATCCGTTCTATTATTACGGAGGCTATCGCGGCACAGCCCAAGGAACTCCCCAGCGCGCCTGCTACCGAGCCCGTTCAGCCCGATATGATACGTTCGATAGTTGCTGAGGCCCTGGCCTCTCACAAGCCTGCACTTGCACCTGCACTTGAGGCTCCAGTCGATATCCCACAGCCTCAGATTGATATGTCTGAACTGTACCAAGTCGTCGGAAGCTTGAAGGCATCTATTGCTCAGGCCGCAGGTGGCAACCTCCAGGCTGAAGATGTCCGAGCAGTCATCGATGAGGCCTTGAAGATGCAGGGTGTAGAAGTCGCCAAGCGCGAAGAAGCAGAGGCACTGATAGAGAAAGATGCTCGCATTACCGACCTCGAGGCCAAATTGCAAGAGGCTGCTGATCAGCTCAACGGAGAAATTGAGGTACGCCGGGTATTGGAGGCTCGTGAGGCTGACGGCGCACGCCTACTTAGGGTCACTGAAGAGGAACTCACGCTTCTTCGCGAGGCAGCTGGTGACGACGAGAACAAGATCAAAGCTCTCAAGCAAGAATGCGCAGAAGTCTACCAGAAGCTCGATGTTGTAAGCGCAGGCGACGATGAGTTGCGCAGCAAGCTAGTTGCTCTCCAGATTGAGAATGACGACCTCAAAGCCCAGACCATTGGATTCCGGACTTCGCAGGAAGATAGCAAGAAGAGGCTGGACGCAGTGTCTGCTGAGAACGAAGCGCTTACCTTCACCCTCGAAGAACACCGTCTTTCAGCCACTAAATGGAGGGACGATGTACAACAAGCCAACGAGGAGAACGAGAAGATGCGCAAAGCCATTGAGTCATACCGTTTGGAGGCACAGGAAGCTACGCGTATTCGCGAGGCTATGCGCGCTAAATTTGAGAAGCTGCAGCAGGACGTGATCGTCGCCTCTGGCCAAGCTGCTGCTGAGCGCGCTCAATGGCAAAAGAGTGACGAATCGCACATGAAGAAATATGAAGTACTCAGTGCCAGGATCGAGGCAGAAGGGCGTACTCGCGAGCGGCTTGAGCGTGAACTTGAGAGGCTTGGGACCCAAGAGCGTGAGGGTATGAGGCTGAGGATCACGCTTGAGCAGGCCCAAAAGCACAATGCTAGGCTTGAAGAAAGCATTGAGCAGCTCAGGCAAGAGAGTGTACAACACCAAAGGACCGCGGAGCGCTACGAGCGTGAGTATAGGGAAGCTAGAGAGGCTGCGCATGTTGAGATTAGACGTACCCGCACCCTCCTGGAAGCCGACATTGACGCCGCCAACAACCAAGTCAACATCGTCCGAGCTGAACTTGATGCCGAAGTTGCCCGTGTCCGTACCGAGCTTGACAATGTTCGCCTGGATGCCGATACCACCAAAGCTAAGCATGAGCTCGATTTGGAAGCAGCATCTGACGCGAGGAAGCATGCTGTCACAGAAGTCCTGGAGAGCAAGAGACTTGCTTTGATTGAACAACAGCAGGCATATGAGCGCCGCCTCGAAGCGCTTTCGAAGGAGCACAGCCGTGCGTTAGAGATGGCGCAAGAAGACAAGGAACGCGCGGATGAATTCCACAACGACCGCCTTTCCTTGGCCAACTCCAAGATGGAGCACCTGCAAGACAAGGTCACTCTGCTGGAAGAGAAGCTCTCCGTTGCCAAAGAAGCTGCAAGTGCTGCAGTTGTCGCTGCTCAGTCCGTCAAGTCACCTCCCCCAGGTGCTCAGAACTCCTCCGCCTATGCTTCTGGTGCCGAAAAGATCTCGCCTCAAGCACTTCGCGAGTCAATTGCGGTTCTGCAAGAGCAGCTTCAGGAGCGCGAGTCCCGCATCGAATCTCTAGAGCACCAGCTAGCTGAGATTGATACCGACGCTCCAGCTAAGCTAAAGGAGCGCGATACTGAAATCGGCTGGCTTCGCGAACTGTTGGGTGTCCGCATCGACGATCTGAACGATCTCATCAATGCATTGGCTCAGCCGTCCTTTGACCGTGAGACTGTCCGCGACGCTGCTATTCGCATTCGGACCAATCTTCAAATGGAGCAGTCGGAGAAAGAGCGTCTCGTGGCCGGCGGTCAATCCTTCCCAACGCTCGCCACCCTGTCGAACTTCGCTTCACCGAAGGCAGTCCAGCTTGCTGCCGCTTTCGGCAATTGGCGCAAGGGCCGTGACAATGCAACAAGCACTCTCGCAGGAACTCCAAGCAAAGGCAACTCTCGGGATCAAACACCATCTCGCCTCGCACCCGCACCTGCACAATCATTCCTCTCTGGCCTCATGACACCTCCTACCTCTAACCTACGCCGCACTCCTGACCTCCCTTCCTCGGGCGCTAGGCCACAGAACTTGCGCTCGAACTCTGCAAGTTCGAGAGGGTCTGTTACCGGTTTCCCGAGTCTAGGCAAGCAACCGCAACCGGTGCCATCAACGCCTCCGCTACTGAGGAAGGCGAGCTATGATCAAGACGCCGAAGACGGACACTTCAGCGAGAGCGGCTTCTACGATGACGAGAGCACAGTCGATGGCGACGTGACTCCTATTGGCCTCAACTTCGGTCACGAACTGCGACGATAACATACCTAAACTGAACTACATCTTTCCTTTGTACCAAAACTTTTCCTTGCTGTAGCTCGTCTATGAGCATCCTCTCGTTCTCGATGTTGTTATTGCATTTTGTGTATGAGAGCGCTCTTTTTGGGTTGAAGAATGGATTAATGCACTTGCCCTTGCTGTCCTTTAGCGTATGAGCATGGATGGATATACCCCCAAGACCGTTTTCACTGGACGTGTGTGTTGGACATTGGACTAAATTGTCAGTGGTAGTATTGCGCTCTTACATAGAAGAGTCGCTTTTCTTTACATTCTTGGTAGATGATGGATAGTGGTAGTGCAGGTGGTGATGTACTAAATTGTAATACAATACAGAAGTTTATAGACTCAGCCTGATCCCTGGTATTTGTGACAACGAATGATAACTATTCTGCAAGGGACCGGAGTATGCAGCGGCAAGTGAGGCTTGTCTGAATGTTCAGCCTTGAAAGTTTAGGCATGTGACGGCGGAATTGATTTTTCTGCGTATGTCCAACCTCAGCATGAACGCCTCACTGTCTCAACACCATGAAGATGTGCAGTTTTCTGGCTTGCAGAAGGCGCAAAAGGCAGTCGAGTGCTGCCCAACGACTCTCGATAGCCTTATACTGCACCCCGAATTTTGCGCCTTGGTCAGCAGCAGGCTGCCCGAGAGAACCCACGGGTTGATGCAGGCATCTCATGGCAACCTACTCAACAACGACTGTTTCCACTGGAATCTCTCGTTACAAGTAGCATCTGATGATAGTTATGTCGATTACCCACGGACGAATTTTTGTTGAGACTCGGTACAGGCATTTAGCGCGTATTGAGAACCAGAACCATCAAGAGCCAGCAGCAGGCTGCGAAGAGCTGGTCCGAATCCGGGAACTCTAACCGCTGGTGGACGAGTTCTCGACGTTAGTGGATGGTACCGTGCTTTCTATATGTCTAGACGTGTATCCCGCGGTCGATGGCTTGAAGACAGCGCACAGCTCGTGCCTGAGGCTCCGAGGTCCTCTAGCCGTATCTCGAACTCTCTGGTGTATATGAGAAGTGGATCAGTGCAGAGCGCCAGCCTGGTCGATCCACAGTACCATTCTCAATTCCGTTCACTAAGAAGATACAGGCATTGTACGTATGCCAATCATAGTAGAAGGTCACAGTCCTATCTACTATAAAGGCGGAGAGTATCATTGACAGCCCCGCGTGTGCATAGCGAAACGCTAGCCCAGTCAATCAAACATGAGCTCGTCGGACAGTGATGACGATCCCTCTCCTCTCCGTAAGATATTAGCGGCCAACATGTATTTAAAGGGGTAAGCTGACTTCTTATAGAAGTAGTCAGAAGGCGGCCGCATTCACCTTATCCGGGGCCTGTAGGCAGACGAGGGTAGGAAGCGGGAGGAAGAGACTTCTCGCCCCAGAGACTACGCCGGAGCCAGTCAACATGCTTACGAGTTCCAAAAAATTTAGCTGCAAAGCGCAAAAAGATATTGTCGCTTCTGTGGATCGATCACAGTACCTCCAGATACCGCACAGGTGTACAACCGAAGTGGTCTTCAGTCTGGCCTAGAAATTGTTAGAATAATCCAAGTTCTCAATTGTTGTTTGACTTACGCTCTCCCAAGTGAGCAAAAGCGACTGCTTTTATTTGAATTCAATGCAAATTACAAAAGATATATAGCCGGAATTATTTTAGTACTATAGCCTGAGCCGGAATCAATGCTAGACTAGGCTATCAGGTAACTGTTTTGGTTAGACAGTGTTTTTCTTATCTCTATACCCGCACCTCGATGCCAAAGGATGGAGCCCACAGAAGTGTCAAGTCCGCCAGACCTCGATTCGACCGACGACAGTATCCGCGACACGTGCCAAATGATACGCTACCTCCCCCAAAGCATTAAGATCATCGCGAGAGAAAGGACTCATTATTGCCAGAAGGATACTATCCTGTGCCGTATTGGAGGCAAGGAAGCGATCCAGGATGAACGATACCATGAGGTCTTATTAGCATTGCACTACCAGATAGTAGCTGATACTTCCATTAAGATGTGTTCATCCCGTTGCTTACTTTTTAGGTCCTTTCCTTCTTTCGAATTGGCGAGCAGTTCAATTGCGCCAGTCATTAGCCAGAATACCTGACCTGGCTGCAGCAAGCAAATGCAGAATTGTTCTCGTCGCTAATACCATACTTGGAACTGTGAGCAGGGGTTGGAGCGGGGACACTATTCGCTAATTAGGCGCCGTGGCGGAAGACAGTCTTAGAAGGCTCGCAGCCTGAACCGACCTCTTTCAGCTGAGCGAGCTCCCACACCAGTACATTCACGCGCCTGGAGACCCCGATAGAACGTGGTAGACCTTCTTCACTCGAACACGCGATGTGGCTTCTCGACAATTACAACTTCACCTTGCATGAGTTTCACGGCAGCGATACCCCGTCCTACGCAATCCTCAGTCACACTTGGTCGAAAGATGAGGTCTTGTTCCACGAGCTACGGAATGAAACGTACGAGAATATCTTAACGCTAAGTCGTTACTCAAAGATAAGGCTGTTTTGCAAAGCAGCCGTAGAATACGGTCTTCGTTATGGCTGGGTGGATTCTGTGTGCACATAGGAATGTCACCTGCACTGACAATGCCCTACAAAAGAGGGTGCATATGCCGCCGGAAACGATGGGCTCACCACGCCATGCTCTGGGCCCCATTCTGGGAATTTGGCCTAATTACGCTTCAGGCGTCGACCCCGCTTCAGGCATAGTGACCAAACCTTGATAGGTCGCCGCTTTTGACCTCGCCGTTGCTGCAGTCCTAGTGCTGTCGCACCAGCCCCTTCAATTCTCTGCCAACTCCTTCAAAATTTGCCCCACCTCTACCTATATGCTACGGATCACCTCTCTAATCCCTCAATTTGCTCGTCATTCACTCTCGACCCAGTTCGTTTCGGCCCTCTAAAGCGATTAGCCTGGCCTGGGTATATGGCTGAGCGGGTATCTTAACATTCAAAGGGCCCGCCTCATTTTGTAGAACCATAATAGCGCAATATACCACCGCCAAAAGTGACCTCACCAAAGGCCGGATCAGTCTCCTGGCCTGAGCATTTACTGTTTTAGCCTGGGCGTTGACGTGAGCCGTGGCTGTGCTGTCCTGCTCTGGACTTTCACATGCCTGCGCAAAGCGCCTGAGTAAAGACACTGTGCCTGGTGGGATCCCAGACTCCGTCCCCCTGATCAACTGAGACGGTCCCTTTCCGGATGATCGTTAATGGTACGAGTGGCTGGATTTGAATTTCAGGTTTTGTAGGGCCCTAATTTTGTACCCCACTACCGCCAAGCCTGCTGCCTAGAGGTCATTTACAAGCACTGCAGATTCTGCTACTCGTAGCCTCAAGGCCAACCCGACGATTTGGGGTTTTTATTGAACCACTCCTACACAACCCTACTGTAGCGTCATTGCGCGGAACGAAGAAGCGTGATTCTACAAGGCATGACTGAGCAAATGGACCGTGCTGTGAGACTGTCTACCACAATGGTCGAGCCACGCAGAGATGTTGTCCTATACCCTCTTAAAGCCAATAACCCGTACTACAAGCTCAAACAATCGAGAGAGATTCGACTGTTACGTGTTGAACCTGGGACTGGATCAGATCTAATTACCTGTTCCTTGGGTCACGCCTCCCTTTCGGACAGTCCCAGCTATGAAGCATTATCATATGTATGGGGTTCGACCGAAGATCTTAAAGAAGTATGCTGTGATGGATATAGTATCTCCGTCACTAGAAACCTTCATGAAGCATTACAACTCTTCCGATTACCAAATCGTTCAAGGATCTTGTGGATAGATGCTCTCTGCATTAACCAAGCTGATGACATGGAGAAAACTATCCAAGTCCGACTCATGGGCGACATCTACAAATGTGCACGCAGTGGCTTAATATGGCTGGGAAATGCTATGGAAAGTGACAAACTCGCTCTCTATCTTCTGGAGTCTCTATATGCGCTTTTTCAACGTTGCGCCGGACATATCGACATGAACGAAGCCCGACCCGACGATGAAGATCTTCGGTATGCCAAAGGAAAAGTCACCGATGCTGTTAGAAGGGATTACGCATCTCCAGGACTATGGAGTGCTCTCAACAAATTCTACCGACGTGCGTGGTTTTCACGAGTCTGGGTTATTCAAGAAGCCGTATATCTGCCAAATTGTGCCTCTCAGCCTACGATCGTTGCGTTTGGACCTCATACAATCACCTGGAACAAATTGGCTTTTGTTACCCAGGGAATTATCGGCTTGGGATTATTCGACAGATTGCAGTCATCACACTTACCCGATCTTGGACACAACACCGTATCTATGATGGAACACATGAGATACACGCTGAGAAAATCGAACTTCCCATCTTTACTGGCCATTCTCGATTCCACAAGGGAATCTAGGGCCACCGATCCAAGGGATAAAATCTTTGCTCTCGTCGGGCTTCTAGGAGTGAAAACCGCTGATATACCATCACTGGATCCAGATTACACCAAAAGCGTCAGCCAGGTCTATACAGAGGTAGCCATTGAAACTCTACTTCGGTTCAAGACACTTCGTATCCTACAGGCTGTTTCTGGAAAGCTACCACAGTATTGCTGTGATGGTGGAATCTCAGGTTTGCCCTCCTGGGTCACCGATTGGAGTCGAACCTCTAATCGGAACCTTGAAACATGGCATTTTCGTGCTGCGGGAGAAGAGGAGCCAGATCTTCAAGTTCGTGACAGCGGAAAGATCCTAATAATCCAAGGGAAGATCATCGACCGGATCAAGAACTTGATGGAACACGAGAAAATTGTTCAAAATGAGATAGATCCTGGTGTCTCGTCAGATTACACTGCTGTACTCCGGTACAAGGGGACTTGGTATCAATCTTGCATTCAAATGGTATCAACTTTGAGCAAAATCTTGACAACAGGGGAGTTTTCTACTCGTTCACAGCTTGTGAGTTACCCAACAGGAGAATGCTTGCAAGAGGCGTTTTGGCGAACACTCATTTGCAACACGACTATCCAGCGTAAAAAGCCAACGAAGGAGTACGGAAAGCATTGGCTCGCTCTCCATCACATTTACTCTCAATTCCAAAAGCTCTTGGACGGTCAACAACGATCACAGCAACCAGTATTAGATGTCATTGATTTTGAACATGCAATGGATACGTTTGCTGGGGGTCGGAGATTTTGTATAACTGAAAATGGCTATATGGGCTGGGTACCTCAGCGAACACAATTCGGCGATATCATTTGTGTCTTCAAAGGCGGCGAAGTTCCTTTCATTATTAGACCTGCTTTCTTCAAAGGTGGGAGACTTCCTTTCTTGATTCGTCCTACGGCAAAATATTACGAGTTGATTGGCGAGTGCTACCTGCATGGTTGGATGGAAGGGCAAGCTATGGATAGAGATTGTTTCAAACTGGTTGACATTATGTTGCGATGATGGAGTTGTGAAGCACGACAACACCCTCGAGAGTGGGGTGCCATCGAGAGAGAAAATGTAACGGAGTTGTACATGGACAGCTTGGGCAACCGCACACTGGGCTGGGATAGTAGACTGAGCGAGGACAACGATGCTGATAGGAACGAACGCTGTAGAGGTTATTTTATATCCAACATGGAGGGACTTTGACACGGGTCTTAACACCATGGGATCAAGCGCTGCACCGAATATCAAAGAGAAAAAGGACAATGTGTTTAGGCTATGAGATGGCTGGTGGGTGAACAATTCAAGGGCCACCCTGTCAGGGCACCTACTTAGAGAGGTGTACTGAGCACCATAGGCGTAATCTAAACAGTAAATACAGTACTAGGTGATCCATATGACATCGACACAGTGCTTGAGGAAAGGGTATAGTGAGAGTACGCTTCCCATCCAAAGGACTGAGTATCGGTGATTGAAACGAAGAAATAATTCAAGTGGAGGGCCGATCGGCCTGAGCAGGGAAGGATGAGGCTTCTCGTGATTTGCAAAAGGTCCGTCTGTCTAGGCAGAGTCGCTGGTACTTTAAAAACAAAAGATAGAAAGTAGGGTGGACTAACCCTAGCGAGGGCTTTGTAGCCCTAAAACACGAATATCAAAATATTTTGACATTGCTGAGAATCAAATTTCGAATCTTACCTCAAACTTCTTTTCTACATATCGAAAGATTAGTCTTGTCAAGCTGAGTAGAGTAAGTTAAATGTTGATGAAGCTTTGAACGTGTCGCGGTGCTGACAACTTGGGACACAGTTGTGCTCAAATTTTGTTGTTCAAGATGCGACTTCGCCAAGACGGACAGACCTTTTGCAAATCATAATAGCTGTTGTTGACCCGGGTCACATGACACGTGGGTAAAGCGGTAGGGCTGCGGTCAGAAAGCACCGGAGAGTTCGGCAGTGGTGTCACTGTCTGTATTGATAAGAGAAGTAGCGCAGAACTCTCGGAATCCATCAATAGTATGTTTCAGTGGTATGAGTCGGCGACCCGCTGCATTATATACCTAGCAGACGTTCCCTCCAGATCAGTCGTGGAGCACCAGGAGCAGCTGGAAGCTTTTGCGAAGAGTCGATGGTTCAGACGGGGATGGTGTCTGCAGGAGCTGATTGCATCTCAGTTTCGAGTGTTCTATTCTGAGGA